GATAGTTCTATGAATTCCTTTATTTCAAGCTCTGAGACAGAGAATGCTGACCCCACTTCTGTTTTAACCCTCTTTTGACCCATCTGTACATTTTTAGCAATGTTTACCCCATTTAGAGGGGGAGGAGAGAGATTCACTAAATGTACACATTTATCTCCCTTTTTAATTTGATTATATATTTTCTCATTTAGCTAAGGTGTATGATTGTACACCCAGAGAGCCATGAAAAAAGTATTATATAGTAATTTATATTAGGACTTTCTTTTCTCTTAGTTCCTTTGTCTCTGTTTTAATCCTGTTCAAATGAGATATATTGGAGTGTTTCCACTGTGTTGTCCACTGAATTTCCAGCATTCTTCATATATTTGTTTAGTGTTGCCATCTTCCCTTTTTCCCATAACCTTTTGAGCAAAAGATTAAGTCCAGTAACTTTATTATTTATGCAGACATTTCACCAACTCCTATTTGCATTACACAAAAAACATGTTGTGATCAGAGAATGCTTGGGTTTGGTTTAAGTCTACCGTCTCAGGTTCATTTTTGATGCTGAACTACATGTGTGCCATCCATATACACTGTTTTTCTTACTACGTTTTACAAAGCATTACCCGTTGTTTTCTTATCAGTGCCCCGGGTGATTCCAGAATCACTATTAAGTAGATTGAGTTTACTTTTACATTTATCTTCAATATTTTCAGTATGATTCTTCCATGTTGCTATCAAATGTCACACTCAGCTTTTAACTAAACCAAATTGCTGTCCATAGAGACAAAGTTTTCAGTCTTTTTTAATTTCCCTTTTACTGAATCTCATTTCTTTTATTTTGTGTACTGAAAATGTAAATGCCCTCTTGTTTCCCCATTCCACACTTTCCCTAAGTACTTCATTAATTTATTTTTCAGTGATTTCCTTGTTCCTGTTTTAGTCCCTATAGCACAGTCATCTGCAAACAAGAAAAACTTTTCTGCATTCATCTTTTTTGGAAAATTATTTATGACTACATTGAATAAGTTAGGGCTGATGGCACTCTGCAGGGGAGTGCCAGTTGTGAATGTTTATATGCTAGAGTAAGATTTCCCTACTCTGACTTGCATAGCTCTTTGCCTTAAGAAAGCCTTTATCAACGCCTATATAGCCCTCAGCGGAAGGGCTTTTTTTTCTTTTAAGTCCCACATCCTGCACAAGTGTAGTGATGAAGAGCTAACTTAACAGAGCTGACTGGTCTAATATCGCCTCTTCTGAAAGCTGCAGGCCACCCTGTTGCAGGCTTTCTATTCTGATCAGGGCCTCTGAATGTCACCATATCAGGATTATTATTACAGTTTTATTGTCCCTCACCATTATATGGAGATTCTCATATTTAATAGTTTTCTTACAGCTCCAGGTCCTGGAGCCCAGTAATTCTGTGAGCAGCTGTGCTTTCCTTTAAAAAGAAAAGATGTTATGGTTATGGAGAAAAGCCATCATCAGTAGCAGAAGTAGAGGTGTCCAAGGGAAAGGGTATTTCTATCCTGTGGGAATTCCATATTTAATTTTTTTTAAATCATGTGATTAATCATAACAAATTGATAGATTTCCCTGACCTTATCTAAACATTTCATAATGATAAAGACAAAATAAAATGTGTCAAGTTTAAAAAAAACATTTTCATGGTTTCCCATTGACAAAAATTAATATGTTTCTATGAAATGTTTAGCTTTCGTCTAATCAGCATTTTCTGACAAAAAATGTTCTATTGGAATTTTTTTTTACTAGCTCTAGGTAGTATTTCTATTTCAAGCTGAATAGATTTTGATCAAGAATTTTTTAACTCTTGTGCTGTGGCTCTATTGAAAGCCAAAATGGTTTCTTCTCCCTAATAGCATCCATTAAATCTTGAACAACAGATTTAGTAGGTAGTAAACAGCCTGATGAATCTGAATTATCTTCCCTTCATTACAGAGACAAATGTTTATCAGCAAGAGATTTCTGTATATTGTGCAAACAAGATATCCTGGACGTGGAATAGTTTGTTAGCTTCTGTGGTAATAGAGCTATACTTGGGTTGGACAAATGTAAAGTCATGTAAAAGGAAGACTGAGGAAGATATTCTGAGGCAGCTCTGTCAATACTGAAAGTCAACAGAATTTCCTTTCAATCTATAGAATCACAGACCTCAAGAGGTCATCGAGTCCAGCCCCCCGCCCTCAAGGCAGGACCAAGCTCCGTCTACACCATCCCTGACAGATGTCTATCTAACCTGTTCTTAAATATCTCCACCTCCCTTGGCAATTTATTCCAATATTTGACCACCCTGACAGTTAGGAATTTTTTCCTAATGTCCAATCTAAACCTCCCCTGCTGCACTTTAAGCCCATTACTCCATGTCCTGTCCTCAGAAACCAAGAGGAACAAATTTTCACCTTCCTCCTTGTGACACCCTTTTAGATATTTGAAAACCACTATCATGTCCCCCCTTAATCTTCTTTTTTCCAAACTAAACAAGCCCAGTTCATGAAGCCTGGCTTCATAGGCTTCTCTAGACCTTTAATCATTCTTGTCGCTCTTCTCTGTACCCTTTCCAATTTCTCCACATCTTTCTTGAAATGTGGCGCCCAGAACTGGACACAGTACTCCAGCTGAGGCCTAACTAGTGCAGAATAGAGCGGCAGAATGACTTCACGAGTTTTGCTTACAACACACCTGTTAATACAACCTAGAATCATATTTGCTTTTTTGGCAACAGCATCACACTGTTGACTCATATTCAACTTGTGGTCCACTATGACCCCTAGATCCCTTTCCGCCATGCTCCTTCCTAGACAGTCGCTTCCCATCTTGTATGTATGGAACTGATTGTTCCTTCCTAAGTGGAGCACTTTGCATTTCTCTTTATTAAACCTCATCCTGTTTACCTCTGACCATTTCTCTAACTTGCTAAGGTCATTTTGAATTATGTCCCTATCCTCCAAAGAAGTTGCAACCCCACCCAGTTTGGTATCATCTAGTTTTATACTAGTACAAGGCAGGGAGACTGCACTTCTATCTAATACACACACATGGAATATAGGACAAACACCCAAACTGTTTCACCAGAAGCCTTTGATACCACTGACAGAGATAGGTGCTATTAATATGCCTGTGGCCAATGGCAGATACACAATAATGTTTCAGTAACTTTGTACTAATCTTTCTAATAGGAAGTATTAAATGATTATGAGCTTCAAGGGCTCTCTCATGTGGCAACCCTGCTGCATTTTTAAGTGATAGAAGTCCACATTCCATCACTGGAAAAAAATGTTCAGCCATTGGTACTCGGTGTGCAAATTGCAGTATTGTCTTTTAAAAGCAGATCTTACAAAAATCAACCATGCCTTGATCCTTTCTTGGTCAAATAATTAAAAGGTACTTTACTTGAGTTGACATATGAAGACCACTTGGTATACTGAATGAAAGTGGTGTAATTACTTACTCAGAGTTCTCACACAAATCATTATATACTGCATAGAATGCAAGGGATCCATTTCAGGTTGTTGATTTATAAGGCCCTCTATGGTTTGAGCCTTAGGTTGGAAATGCCACTCTCTTTGTGTCTTATCTAGACAACTAGGGAAGTCAAGCTGATAGTCTCTAGATCTATATGAGGAAGTTGGAGACAGATCTGAGCATCTGACTCTACAATTTTCTTTTCCCCTCCAACAACTTGTCCTGACAAAGTAAGAGTTTGTTGACCTTCAAGGCATGCTGCAAGTCCATAAATTAATCCATGGTGTATAAGGAGGAATACCAAAGCTGTTTGAGGTTTTTGTAAAGTAGGGAGCTATTTGTGTTAATTAACACTGGTTTAGTTGGCGAAATATCAGTACCTGATATCTACTCCTCCCGCCTTCAAACTGCCTATTACTCCCCTCATTGGATCTAAAATTCATTGTTCCTGAAAAACAGCCAATTTTTCATGCCAGAAATAACTACTGCACTGAGAAAAGATGAAACAGACCTTAAAAATACTCCTCATAATATGCCAATGTTTATATAACACATTTCATGCTGAAATAAAAACAACCAGGGTATGTCTTTGTACTTTATAGAATTTTTAGAGCAGCAAGATTAAAAACTCCATGAACTACAGTGAGAAAGATTTGTCAAGACTTTGTCATCACAAGATTAGAATTTTCTTAAAACAACTTGATCATAACCACTCTGGCCACAGTCCAACTGCCATTTTTTAAAAAAAGATGACAATTCACTAGTATAAGTTTCAATCTAAAATGACTATATTACATGCCATTTATCAAACCCTTAGAATCTCTAATTTGTCAAAGAGTGTCTCCTTTCCAAGATGGGTAAGATCTTTTTGAATTTCTTGATTTTGTCAGGCACTCTTCTTTCTGAATAAGCACCAAAGTGTCACCTTGACAGATTCATGAACAGCAAAATAATTCATAATATACTCCACTTCTCTCCAGAATACAGTCTAGGTCATGCATCTGTAGGAGTTCTAATTATCCCTCACAGACTAGACAGTATTTAGTGATGCTTAGACTTTAGTAACTTGTCAGCTATAAATACAAAATCTGACAAATGTACACTTACCAATTTCCCTCGAGATCTGAGTAAATGCTTCTACACCGCTCTCCCCATAGTTTCCCTCGGAAGCCAGCGTTGACACATAGTTCCATCCAAGTGCTGTCACAATATCGACCATGGCTTGGGCTTGGTATGAGTCAGGTGGAACCACTCGAGAGAAAAAGTCATACCTAGTATTATCACTTAACTCTGGAGCTGTAGATGCATAGCTGATTTGAGGTATCTGCAAACAAAATGATAAGTAATTCAAGCCAATCTAAAATAATTTTCAGTTTAAAATAGATTATACACAGGAGCAGCATAGTACTGAATATCTTGTTATAATTAAAGCAACTAATCAGAAACCATTTCAGATATTGTAAAATGTCAATTAAGTTTCATTGCATAAATTCCCCCCTCCCCACCAGTGAATAATGAATTATGTTTTTCCCCAGATATTATGAGTCATGACTCCTGACATACCAGAACAACATATTTCCTCATTCCAGCCACACTAAGAATTGATGCAAAAGTGAAGATAGAAAGAAGGACTTGTACAAATCACAAATCAAGAAAAAAGGTCATATCTTTCAGGAACTTAATATTTCACTGTTACTTTTATACAGTACTGGGAAGAAAATTAAGATTTCTCTCTTTCACATTTTGTTTTGATTTTTCATGGTTTTAACTGGGTATCCTGCATAGCAACACACAGTAATACAAAACTAAGCAATTGGATTATGCCAGAAGATTTTTTAGAACTATATTAGCTATATACATATATAGGAAAAATTAATGCCTTAGTGATAAGCTATATAAAGTCAGTTACTTTGCATGCAGACAACAGAAGTGATTTTAAATAAATACAAAGCAATATGGTTATACTATTTCTGAAGACTAATTAAAATATTTAAAGAAATATCTGCATTGCATTTATGCATCTAGAAAGACCACAAAATAAGGAACCTGATAGGGCTCAGTCATAACTTTGCTTTCTGGAATAAGTAAAATTTGGAAGGGTTAAAAGGTTATTGCCTAGAGGTAACATTTATTGTCAATTTTGTGCATATTGTCAATTTTGTATTTCTTCGGTGAAACAAATTATAAAATGTTTATAATAGTTTGTAAAGAGTATGATTTCAAACAATGGTGAAGGGAAACACTTGAAATATTTATCAACTAGTCATGAAGATTACCACAAAATACTTTGATGGGGAATGTAGAATGCCAACTAATTATCCCAACATTATTGTCCAATGGCCAAGGAAATATTGTGTCATTAGCATAAAGAAGGAAAGATGATTTTGTAATTAAGGCAAAAGAAATGGGGTTTAGGAACACTGGTGTCTTATCCCAGCTCCGGAGCCATCCTTACCCTTATGCAGAATAGGTGACTGCACAGGGCACCCAAAAATGTGGGGCACCACTGAGTTTTAATGTCCACCCACATGCCACTTCCTATTCCTGTTCTGTTGTTCTGCTTTCTCTGGAGAGGATCTAGTAAACTTAAAAGTGAAAAAGATTAGCAGACATTGAAACTGTGAAAGAGTCATTCAGGTGGTAATGAAGCCTTTTAATAGGCATTTGCCAACACCGGGTATATCCTGTCAATTTCTTAATTTAACGTGTTAGTCTATAGGACCTTCGTTTAAAACGTGCTTTTAAAATATTTCATTAGAGGGTTGCTGAAGATTATAAAATCACATTTCTAAAAAAATTGTCATCCCATACCCAGGTCTGCCATTAGGCATAGGAGCACCAGTTTAATAGTATGGCTTAGGGCTCCGTAAATCCTAAGGACATCCCTACCCAGCTCTGTCAGAGACTTTCTGTGAATTTGAGCAAGTTATTAAATCTCATATATCCTTAATCATTAGTTTTGTCATGTTGGCTCACAGAATGCCACTTTGCAAATCTTAAGGGGAAGTTTCTTCACTGAACAGTTACTCAGTGGTGTTCACCATAGCATCAGTCATTTTATCCCAGCAATGGCTTTATTGTTACAGATTCTGGAAGCAGGACCCATGCCACTTTATAGCCATTAATTTCCCCAGTTTTGGTTTTCTTTCTGATATAAGGCCAGTGGCAAATCTTAACAACATGTTTATTTGGGAGCTAATAGTCTCATGCAGTAACAAGCCGCTTCAACCTAGACAAAGTAGGTATGCTTTGTGCACCCCTGGTTGAGGCACTGGAAAAGCCAGAACAACATTTTTTCAATGCCAAACAGAATTTATTTTAGGAAAGGGACAAGACTAAGCAAACAATGAGACTGTCCAGAAAACATACATGAAAAATGAACTGAAATTAATATACTTTGTCCATGAAAAATCTGATTCAACTTTTATTGACGTCAACAGGACTCTTTCCATGGAATTGGGCCTCGTGTCCATTGTCTAACTGACACAGAAGGGTACGCTGCAGTGTTGCACCATAAAACACTCATACTGAGCTTGATTCTCCACTGCCTTTCATCATGTGCACCCATTTAGTTTGATGCAAAATGGGTGTAAAATGCCACCACTTTGATTTGGCATTATTTTAGTGACTATGAGAGCTCAAAGACATGGGATAACTAGGCCATGCTAGTCATTTAACCATGCAGACAAAAAACAGCCTTGGAGTCAAGAACACTTAAATAAGACATTCTTAAAAAGCCTTTTCCTTCATCTTTGGGTGTTTCCATTGTTTCTTTTTCTATTCTATTTTGCTATTCATTATGTCTGTCCAGAAATACATTATAGATTTTCCTTTATAAAAGTCTATGTTGAAGATACCAGGAAAAAAGAATTAAATGCTTAGCTTCACACTCTTATTTTCCAAAGGAAACAAATTCATTATTTCTTGTAACCTGAACTTTTGTAAGCAGAAAGTCCATGAATGTGGGCTAGTCAGGCCGGGTGCTTTCAAATGCAGAATTAAGAGGTCCGGGGTTTGTGGGATGTTAAAAGAGAAAAAAATATATAGCTAAAGAGATACAGTAGCTCTTTTTCAACAATATTCAAAAGAATATTCAGCAGACAAGTTGTTTGAATGCACTGGATCAATAAACCATGAACTAAGAAATTATTCTTTAACTGTAACAACTCTGATTATGGACTGTAAACTTAATAAACCATATTTTAAATATCCCTAAATACATTTTTACATGACAGAACACAATGTTTCCTATGCAAAGGAGCTTTTATGGTCTATCAGTTCAGTAATATGTGTTTTCAAAATGCCCTAAATATGGCCTATATTGACACCAGAGGTTCTCAAATTTCATTGCACCATGACCTCCTTCTCACTACAAAAGTTACTGCAGAACCTCTGGAGGGTGGACTGAAACTTGAGCCCACCCAACATCTACTATGCCAGGTGAGGGACCAAAACCAAAGCTTGAGCTCCATCTACCTGGGCAGGGCCCCAAAGCCTTCATCCCCAGATAGGGGGCCTGTTATCTGAGTCCTGTTACCCAGGATTGAAGCAAAAGCCTGAGTCCTGGATAGTGGAGCTCAGGCTTTGTCCCTGGGCAGTGAAGACTGAGTTTCAATCCTGGGCAGTTAGATTTGGGGTTTGGTCTCAGGCTCCAGCAAATCTAACGCCAGTCTTGGTGATCCCATTGGTCCAGATATAGGGATGCTGACCTATCTGGAAATACCAACCACCTTCACATCAGCATGGGCAGGATTACAGTAATGCCTACAGGACAGGTAGCTGTTTAATGGGGGATAATTCAAATATGTATGGACCTGATGAAAAAGAGCTGCAGATATCTACCTTCAGCTGCTGCAAGATTGACCATCATTGTTGCTAAGTAAAGGTGGGTGATATTTGTCTTCAAGCTAGATTCATGCCAACAAACAAGAAGTCAAGTGGGATTTCATCTTTTGATGTGTAGTGTGGGGGGAGGGGACTTTTTGCACACATCAACAGTTTTGCTTACTTAAAATGATGCAGCCTTCTGGTAATCCCCCATAGAGAAGCCAGGAAGATTTAAAAGCTGCTTCTGGAGATCTCCCCTTTCTGACAGCTGGTTCTTGGGTAGTGATGGAGCAATGACTAATTTCAAAATCAATTTTCTGCAAGATACAATTGACTGCCCCAGCACTTGGAACCATATCTGCTTCAGGCAGCTAACAGAGATACCAATGAAAGGTCTTATCCTATTACACAAAGAAAGCACATAAAAAAGAAGCCTCTTCTCAGTGACAGAAGGGCTAGTGACTTGTTTATTTTCAGGCAAGTGATAATCCACGACTATTGGCCTCCACAGAAGATTCACCACTTTATGATCCAGGGAGCACCCTACCCCCTAGGCCTGGGTTTTCTCTGGCATTCCAAGAAATTCAGTCTAAGGGAGACCCAGGATATAGAAGAATAGTAGGGGAAAATGCATGATCTTTAATTCTTCAGTGCAAGTGTCCAATAGGCACATGGCTCCTAAAAGTCCTTCAATTCAAGTCTTGGACAAATACTCAAAGGGTTCTTGCCCACTAGAGCTGTCAATTTTAAATATGAGCCACATGTTTCATATGAAATCTCTCTATATCCTTCCAGGCAAAGACAGATTACTTGGGAGCAGTTTACGAGATATAGGGAAGTGAATTGAGTAGAATAATCATAAAAGCAGGCATCCAAGATTCTTGAAAATTGTCAATGAGGAGTTAAACTAAAAGCTATAATATTCACTGATGCAGCTAACTTCCAACCTGCCCCAGTATATCAGCAATGACATTTAAAAAATACTTATTATAGCTGATGTTGTTGGCAACAGTTCAATTTCAAATGGCATTTTGCCATCTAATAATAAACTAAACAATTTTGCTAAGGAGTATAAATGCTTAGAAAGAAGTTTGCATAGTCAAACTATTTCATGTCAGTGATTTCTCATGTTTTATGTCTATCCTTAATCCTTAAAAGCCTTGTGTTTTATCACCACCTCTTCTGTAGAAAAGAGCTCTTTGTGAGCAAAAAAGCGTCACCTATATGAAATAGGTCCTTAGAGTCTGGATATAGAACACTTCTGAATGAGAACCGAGGTCGCTGTCTTCAAGCTATTACTCACATCTACAAATTGTCATATCTTCGTCTTAGTCTGCCATCACTGAATAAAAATTTGTGCCCATGGTAGTGTTAAATTCACTTGGTATAGATATTCAAGACTCAAGTGTTTGATTGGCCTTAATACCATCTCATGCTGTGATCAAACAAAGTAAACAGAGTTGTGTGTTGTTTTACTACCTGGATCATAAATCTCAAATCAACATTTTGGAGATGCAGTAAGTTTACTAGTGATTCAATAGTGGACATTCTTCTCACTCAGTACTAAACCATTTTCCCTGGGCAGCTGCAACAGTGTCCTCTCACTCACAGCTATACCTTGATAGCAGGGAAAGAAGACAATTCTGACATCTGTAAAAGGTTCAGCTCACCACTTCTGAGGAATCAGCTTGTAAACTGAACTCTTGAGATGTCAGACATGTATAGTATAGACTCTTTGGCTGTGTCTAAACTACATCCCTTTTTCAATAAAGGGATGTAGGTTAGGCACGTCGATATAGCAAATGAAGCTGGGATTTAAA